TAAGGAGGCCCCAAAACCCTACTCTAATTTTTAAGGCCCCTCTTTTCGTGCTTGAGGGTCTCAGGGTTTAGGGTTTTGGCCCCTTTTCTTCTTGCTCCTCAAGGGGCTTAGGGCGACGGGTTTACGCTTGAATCTAAAGTTGAAGCTGTCCGTCATATTAAGTGCCCCGACCCCCAATGCGCTCATTTTCTCCACCGCTTGCCCCTCGCATCCCGAACCGCGCTCAGCTGGACGAGAGCTGCATGATTGCCTGTTCAGGGTTTAGGGTTTATGGCTGGCACGCTCTTGCAACATGGGTTGACGCCTCGGGCCCGCAATGCGACCATACACATTTGCAAGACCCGGCCCAAGTGTGATACAGGGACTTTGCAATGACCCCTACGAGGGCATTAGAGGTATGTTGGAGGCGGTTGGGCTTAGGGAATTTTGGGGGAAAGCCTGCCAGCTCCAAAGTTTCTCCCCTGATTCCCAAAAACTAAGCCGCAAGCCCTAAACCCGGAACCGCACCCCGACCCTAAACCCTGCACCCCAAGATCCCCAAATCCTGGATGGCGATGGTGGCAGCAGTGGTGGTGGTAGGGGAGCCGGGAGGGCCTAGTGTAAGGGCCTAAATAATTACCTATACTATTCTGGGGGGTTCCTTATTGTAATTATCGTATACTGGGCCCCAAAACCACACTCTAATTATTAAGGCCCCTATATTATAAGGCTTGGGATTCGTTCCGGGATAGGGCGCAACGTGCCTCGACAATGTCCCCCTTGTTCGCACCTCACAACTCAAAAGGGAAGTCTGCTTGCTAGAGGACAAGGGTGTGTTGAATATGACGTTTCGGAAAATAGGGGACCCTAATATAGTACCTTAAATAGCAAGGTCCTTATTGTAAGGAGCCCAAAATAAGGTACCCCTTGTTTTCGGAAACTCCCATATCAAGGTCTGACAAATTTGACCGACCGTTCCTCTCGTCCCTATACCGGAGATGTACCCAGCACCCTAAGGCCCGTCCAGTGCATAATGTAGGGGCCTAAGTGAATATCTATATTATGTTGGGGGCTCCTTATTATAATTGTAGTATGGGCCCCAAAACCCTGCTCCAATTGTTAAGGGGGTTTCACCATGATTTGGAGGTTCAGGGTTAAATCTCGAATCTGACCGTATACGGGAGAGTGAAGGACGAATCACTGTCTTAGACTTTTTCACGGACACGAGAAAGATGGAACATTGGATGGAGATGATGGGTGCTGGGATTCGTGTATGCATATGTATGTATATGCGTATGTACGTATGTACTCTAGGAGTGTATTGATATTCGTACGTAACATATATACACGACATCTATTACTATGTTTGTGGATTTACAAGCACAGGTTCGGGCACACCAGTTGGTGATGTCATCTGGGATCCCGTGCGGAGCGCTTCCACCGCCTTAGCGCGGGAGCAGTTCACCTGCCGAGGGCGGCGTTGCAAGCGTTCTAGAAGTTGTCTAGAAGGATTGGGGTTCGAGCGCTATAGTTTAGGGCTTAAAGGGTTTAGGGTTTAGGGTATAGGACCCAAAAAGAAAAATGCATGGGATTTCAAATAGTACGGGGTACCGACACAACGTTCGCTAGTTTCTGCGGGCGCCGCCCTTCCTAAGCCGTCCCGTTGCTCACACCGCGCCGTCTGTTTCTTGTCGATTTTACCCATGTGCGTGCTCTGCAAACTCAGTTGCAGGAAGCTAATATAGGGGCCTTAATAATTAGAATAGGGTTTGCGGGGGTGTTTTACTCTAAGTATAGTAAGTAGCCCCGAAAACCCTATTCTATTTATTCAAGCCCTTACTTTATCGCTTGGCTTTCCCCCATCCCGCATTTGTCGGGTGAGCCTGGTTTAGGCGCTTAAGGCTTAGGCATCCGGGAACGTTCAGACCCCTTCTGTCGGAGCCTGAATGCTTCACAAAGGGTCCGGGTGCATAGGATAAGGGGCATAGCATAGTAGGGTTTAGGGTTTAGGGTTTATAAGGATCACTAGGGACTATCAGCAGATATTCCAGGATAACATACCATAGCTATATAGAAGACAAGATGGGAAAACACAGTGCTACCTAGTAAGGTTACGGAAACAGACAACGCAACCTCTACCAAGCGACTGCCCTAAACCCTAAACCCTAAACCCTAAATCCTCAACCCCAAACCCTAAACCCTAAACACCTTTTACACTCAGAGACCTTGCAATGAAGCAAGCCTTGGACCTTCCTAACCACGTTCCGACAGTAAGTCACCCACTACGGTTGATGTTAGGGTTTAGGGTTTAGGGTTTGGGGTTTAGGGTTTTAGGGTTTAGGGTTTAGGGTATATAAACCCTGCATTGCCCATAATATGGAATATACCATAATTCCCATAGTTTAGGGTCCTGAGGGTAACCCATAGTTTAGGGTCCTGAAGGTAATGCAGGGCTTATATCATGAACAATAAGTCAAGTGTTCATGAAAACCGGGCTCCGTTTTGGGAGTCGTACAGACACAGGAGTCTTTCTAGTAAGGACCCGGTCATGTCTCAGGGTCCCCCCATGGCCCTCTTCTCACAATCACCTGATACAGGGGCCTGAATCATTACCAATACTACTGTGGGGGTTCCTTGCTATAAGTGTTAAAGGGCCCCGAAACTCCATTCTAGTTATGAAGGCCTCTATATTATGCGTCCCTAAACCCTAAACCCTAAACCCTAAACCCTAAACCCTAAACACTAAACCCTAAACCGATACTATTGCGGCAACCTGGGCCCTGACCCCAAAACGACGCTCCCCAAAACCGAAACTGAAGCCCCCGACCCGATGCTGAACCCAAGGAACCCTAAACCCAGAGCCCTTAATGTAGGGGCCTTAATCATTAGAGTAGGGTTCCGGGGGTTCGTTCTTATAGTTGTTATATAATAACCCCCCAAAAAAATCTAGTCTAATTATTAAGGCGCCTATATTACTCTGAACCCCAAAACACTAAGCCCCAAACCTAAACCCAAAACCCTCTACCTGTGTCACGACAAGGTCGATGTCCTTAGCCTCAATGCCCTCCTGCGATACATTCGGAGGTCTGACGGCTTCAGGATCCCGTAAGGCAGGAGCCTCATTAAGAAACCTCATGTACTCTTACCGGCTCCAGGTGTAGGCGTAGTGGGCCTTCATCATGCGGATCCTACTATCCTTGCAATTATAAAACCAGGTCTTCTGCTTTCTGTTTTACCAGGTTTCTTACCTTGCGCCCGATACCTAAACCCTATAACCCTAAAGCCGAGAACCCTACAACCCTAAAGCCCTAAAACTCTAAAGCCCTGGTTTCTTTGACCGACCGTCGGACAGTACTCGGGCTTGGTGGAATCGTGGCTTCGGGTGTTTGCCGTTTAGGGTTTAGGGCTTTAGGGTTTAGGGGTTTAGGGTTTAGTGTTTCACGCCGTCCATCTCCTAAACACGACTGAGCAGACTCAAAACGAGTGTACTACGGGGCTTTTGGAGAACTGTTCTCGCAACCACCAGTATGCCGGAAGGGGTCGTGACCAGAGGCAAGCACCCGAACCCTCACCTTTCAGGCTTGCTGACGTGTGTCAGCAGTGTCCGAATAATCGCTGGGACGGAGGTGGCACCACCTTGCACTAAAGCCTGAGTTCTGCCTAAACTCCTCAACCCTGCTAGACAAACCCCAAAACCCCACCCCCTAAACCCTCAACCCTAGACCCTGAAACCCTAAAGCCCCGCCCATGCCGTGAAACTCCGGTAGCCGCGCTCCTCGTCCACTTCACCCTCCTCCTGAAACTCACGTGGGCTGTCGCTTGTCTCTATTTCAAAACATGATGGGTCTTGAGTTCAGGGTTTAGCTTGTCTCCTTGACTTCAGCAGTTCCTTCTCTTTGTTGAGCTCAGATTTTGTGGGGCACGTGTAGAGCACTTCTTTCTCCATGCCGGTGGTTTAAGATCTAGGGTTCCTTTTGCGGTTTGGGAGCGCCCAACCCTAAACCCCACCCGTAACTTGTGTTGCGCTTCAAGTTTAGATTCAAGGTTCCTTTTTGTTAGGACCGTTTCCCCTCTCGCCGCCTACTGTTTGGGGTCTCTAAACACCTACGCCCTGAATCCCAAACCACAGCCTTAAACCCACTTGAGGGCTTATGCTTTGGAGGCTCTTTAGAAGGGTCCTGTGTGTGTTAGAGGGCTCTGTTGGGATTCTTTAAGTTAATACCATGGGTTAGGTATAGTGTGTAGGGGTTTGGGTTGGAGGGACTAGTGTTTGGGCTTGGGAATAAGAATCCGGTTTGAGGGGGTCGTCATATCAAGGATCCTTGTACTTAGGGTCGTCCCATTCTCTGAAACCGCCATGAGCTGAAGTATTGCAGATGCGTTGCAAGGAGCCCTCCACGCCAAAATTACAGCCCTAAAGCATAAACCTCAAGCCCTGAAACCTAAAGCCCTAAACTTTCCATGAACCCCTAAATCCTTAACTAGAAGAGTCCAGCACTCAGCCCCAAAACCAACCGCCCTTCCCCCCCAGGGGTCTCCTCGACCTCCTCGACTACCGGCTTCTCTGGTGCCTTGCCAGGAGGTTTAGGGTTTAGGGTTTAGGGTTTAGGGTTTGAGGATCCATTAGAATATAAACGCCTGGACTTCGAACATCGCTATATCCTCGTTCCGAGAAGGATAAACACAGGAAATCCGCGCACTCATCATCCTTATCCAACGTTCAAACTGCTGGGGCTGACTGTAACTTTCAAAGGGCTTTGAAGTAACAAACGGCATAATCGATCATAAAAGTGCCATAGGGCGAGACTAGGGTCCGGGTTGTTAAGCGCAGGCCTTGTGATGTACTGGTTCAACTTGTGTCATTTCGATTCCCTAGCTGTTGAATACGGGGTCCCCTGACCACTAAACCCTAAACCACCCGCCCGGCGGCATTCTAGTGGAATCTCACCTTACAGCCGAATCTGCTCCATGTGCATATGTATGTATGGAGGGTAGGAACGTGGGAAGCTAAGAAGGTAGGCAGGTAGGTACGTAGGTACTTAGGCAGATAAGTAGGTTTTTTATAAAGGCACGTATGGTTCATGTGCAGATAGACTGCAGGCTAAAATTCAGGCCTAGGATTCAGATCTGCTTTGAGTTGATTGTTTAGGGAGACAGCCACAGGCATGACACATGCGACTGATTGAGCACCTTCCTGTCCATGCCCTGCATGGATGCCAGGTTCTGCACAGCGTTTGCCTGGAGGTGCGAATAAGGAGAGGGGTGTGATATGGTCTGGGGATCGGAAGAAGTAGTAGCAGGATTCCCTCACAGCCTCAAAGTCCCTATTATACTTATACCAACATGTGTTATGCATATCATAATGTACCCCAACACCCTATTCTCATTAGAATGGCTCCAAAAGTAGTTGCTTGCACAAAAAGCCTCTGGAGGCAATAAAGGACGACAAGAGTCTTAAAAAGCTTCGTAGAGTATTCGGCTTTCCTCGGTTTGAGGGTGCAGGTCTTTGGCATGGGAGAGCAGGATGTAATCTTCGAACTTTTCGTGCCTCGCAAATAGGCGCTCAGATGATAAACCTGATGAATCTAACATTTTACTTTGACCACTCCAGAGACCTGCTGAATCAATTACGTGGGGATCGGTGACTTACAGTTATTCTAGTGTCCTTGCCGCAAGGTGTCGGAACGTGTGCTTCTACGAGTCTACCTGGCCATCTGGGAACTATGCGCTCCCCTGTGGGCATGCACATGCTCAGAGAATGTTGTACAGTGGAGGTGGAAAAGACGCGGTCTCACGAGGTCTCACGAAGTCTCACGCTTGCCTGTACGACATTGTTTTCGCCATCTTCGGCGTCAAGCCACTTTGCCACACAAAACTTTCTGTCAACCTGGTGGAGCCCTGTAAAGCCCTCAGAAAACAATCAAACAAATAGGAACCCTAAACCCTAAACCCCTATAAACCCTAAACCCTGAACCCTACACCCCTAGAAATCCTAAACCGTAAACCCCCATAAACCCTAAAACCCTATAATATAAACACTAAACCCCCCAAAGAAGCCTAAACCCTAAACCCCCCAAAAATCCTAAACCCTAAACCCTAAAACCCTATAAACCCTAAAACACACAAAAAAATCCGAAACCCTAAACCCCCAACAAATCTAAACCCTAAACCCACCAAAAAAATCCTAAACCCTAAACCCTAAAACTCTATAAACCCTAAAACACCCCAAAGAATCCTAAACCCTAAACCCCAAAAAAAACCTAAACCCTAAACCCACCAGAAAATCCTAAACCCTAAACCCTAAAAACCCGATAAACCCTAAAACACACACAAATCCGAAACCCAAGAGACCTCGCCTGGGCCTGGGCGCTCAGGTCCTCGACCTGTCGCAGGCTAAGAAGAGACGAAACGGCGTGGGCTTTGGGCTTTTTTGGGCTTTCGGGTTTAGGGTTTAGGGTTAAAAACGAGCCTTGATCCTAGGGTTTAGGGTTTAGGGTTTAGGGTCTATGGGTTAGGGTTTAGGGTTTTAGGGCTTAGGGTTTAGGGTTTAGGGTTTAGGGTCTGAGGTTTTGGGGTTTAGGGTTTTGGGGTTTAGGGTTTAGGGTCTGAGGTTTTAGGGTTTAGGGTTTTGGGGTTTAGGGTTTAGGATTTAGCATGGGCTTTGGGCTTACCTGGGGTTTAGTGTGTAGGGTGGGCTTTGGGCTTACTTGGGGTTTAGGGTTTACCGGGTTAAAAAGGAGCCTTGATAATTAGCCCATATTTCCCAGCAGTCGGGTCTAGTCAACCCACCCTCCGCTAAACGAAAGGATAGCCTTTGCAATCCTATAGAAATCCTAATGTAGGGGCCTTTATAATTAGAATAGGGTTTTGGGGCCCACTATACTAAAATTACAAGAAGGAACCCCCAAAATAGTGTAGGTAACTATGTAGGCCCCTACATTACCTGGGGCTTAGGGTTTACGGGTTAGGGTTTGAAGTGTTGGGTTCCTGAAAATAACCCTACAATTCCTAGCCCTCAAAAGCCTAAGTCCAAAAACCCTGGCTATGCCCTGTATAGCCCCGAGGCTCAGTTTATCTTTGCAGTCTGTGAGAACAATCTTCATAAGTCTCACCGCTATGGACGAGATAGAAGAAGTCAAAAGATCAAAGTGCTCCCCCTCAACCTTAAACCCTAAACCCTAAAGATCAAAGAGCCACGAGGAGATCCGGCAAGTTCACATGGTTAACAACTCCAGGCTTCCAAGCAACATAAGCATGATTTGGGCATGTCAAGACACGACATGACGGGGAAAGTCGTAAGCTGGAGTTGGCTCTATAAAAACAATTCTAGGAAGCTAAAGCTACATAAAGCAGCAATGAAGACACGCATACCTACAACGACGGCAGGTACTTCTGAAAAGAGCGGTGGCAACCACTACGCAGAAAAGGCAACATATTGCACTTCACGCAATCGTACATGTTGAAGACAATATCTGGTTACAGGCAATGCCCAGCCAACATAACGCACGACCTGACGGACGAGATGAGGAGACTTCAAGAACATCCAAACCGACCTTGGCATGTTGCTGCCCGTCAACCCTCAACCGTCATCATCGTTGAGTTTCGGGCAACCCCAATAGAGCCCTCAGAGGGGTAAAGTCTGGAGTTGAGCCCCAAAAAAAATCCCAAAATGTCAGACCCTAGAGGCCCCTGAGCCTGATAAACCCTCTCAGCCCTAAGCCCTGCAAACCCCACGAGCCCCGCATAAACCCTAAACACACATACACACACTCTCTCTAAATCGCTCTCTACAAATTTGAATATATAGCTGTATACAGCTATACCTGTACATATACATATGTACATAATATGTATACATCTATGTGTGTATAATATATAAACACACGTATCTACCCCAGGCTTACACGGAGCCTTTGCTTCACCGAAGACGATGTAGGTGTCCGAGCTCTGTGCCTGGAATGGGGATGCTGGCACGCTCCTCTGACTTAGTCAGTATAGGGTTTAGTAGGGTATCCCTAAACCCTAAACCCTAAACCGTAGGGCTTAGGGTTTCGGTTTCCTGGCTTTCGGGCTGTGGTGTGTGGGTTCAGGTTTTCGTGTTGTTGGGGATAAGGTTTAGGCATGTCGGCTCAGGGATGCAGGCTCCAGGGCTTAGGCTTTGAGTTTAGGCTTCGTAGCGTTTGCAACTGGGGCTTGGGATCAAGGATACGTAGGGTTTGGCGCTTTTGGGTGCTAAAATTCGACCGTTTAAGGTTTAGGATGTACAGGGTAAGTTTCGGAGGCCATTGTCCGGAAGTGCTTTGTTCGGGCAGCTTCGTAAACACTCGGAAAGCTTGAGTTTCAGGCTTCTCGGGTTTGTGTTTCGCAGCACATGTTCGGAGCCTTAGGAGATTATGATTACTAGGTTCGCATTAATGGAGCTTAAGGCTTATGCTCATGTTGTGCGGTGCTTGGGTGAAGGTGTTGGTGGAAGAGAGACCTCAAAAACAAACCCTAAACCCTAAACCGAAAACGCGCTACACCTCACCTGATATGTGACATGAGCCTGTTTTGGACTTCGGGCGCTATGACAGCAGCCGCTGGCAGCGAAACCAACATTCACTCTGCACCATATTCGGGCACCCTGTGCGCAGAAGTTCTTTGGCTCGGTCTCTTCCGGGCCCCAAAACATTCGACGCAAGAAGCCTGCATGCCAAACCCTCACACGAGTAATGTAGAGGCCTTAATCATTCGAATAGGGTTTTGGGGCCCATGAGACTATAAATATAATAGAGAGCCCGCAAAATAGTCTAGGTAATTATTTAGGCCCCTATTCTTTCACCAGATGAGAAGGAAAGCCTTGTGCACGTCGGGCTTGGCAATCACGAACAGGATGTTCTTGCCTCTCGCTACCAGAATTCAGAAGGGTCCCTAAACCCTAAACCCCTAAACCCCTAAACCCTAAACCCTAAACCCTAAACCCTAAACCCTAAACCCTAAACCCTAAACCCTAAACCCTAAACCCTCAACTCTAAAGGGTCCAGGCCCCGATTGACCTTGCTGCGATCCCTGGGCCTCCGCAAAAAGGATCAACGATGTTAGTGCTTTAAGGCCCGAACCCTAAACCCTAAATCCTAAACCCTAAACCCTAAACCCTAAACCCTAAACCCTAAATCCTAAACCCTAAACCCTCAACCCTAAAACCTAAACCCTCAACGCTAAATCCTAAAGGCCAGAAATCACACACGCAAGGCTTCGAGTTGAAGCTTGTGGCTTCGGGGTCAGGGGTCGATACTCTGCACCAGCCAAGGATCCCAAGCGCCTACATGGGGATTGGGGTTCAGGGTTCAGGGTTGAGGGATCCCAAGTACCTATACGGGGGATTGGGGTTTAGGGTTTAGGGCGGTTTAGGGAACCCCATGTACTAGGTACCTATATGGGAGATTGTCAGAGTAGGCATGGTGGCGATGCCTAACGTAGAAAGCCTACTTGGGACCCCTTTTGGCACAAACTCTCACATCCTAGCGCCAGGACCCACGAAAGAAGACATCCTGCCAGCTGTCAATGATGCTGATACCCTTCCTAAACAGGACTTGTGAGTCTTACCAACATTGCTTGCGATTGTAACTAGTACGACCACCACTTATGTGCAATAAATCACAGAGGCCACAACACCCGGTCACAACAAGCCAGGGTAGAGAACGCTTTTGGTTTTAGGATTGCAGGCTAGCGGCTGAGGTTAGAGCAAGCAGGTGATGGGTTATGATAGCTTGGGGATACGGCATCCAAAGCACCGGCAAGGCCTCCTACCTAGACTCACAATGGCAGCAGCTACCTTTGTGTGGATAGCCTTTGACATGTCTATTTTGTAACTTTGAAACCCGCATGGCTAAGCAAACCCGAACCCCTGAACCCTCCTCAGCACCTAAACCCTAAAGCCATCAAGCCCTTAACCCTAAACCCATAAAACCATAAATCCTAAACTGTAGATCCCTAAACCCTTAATCCCTAAACCCCCGAACCCTTAATCCCTACACCCCCGAACCCTAAACCCTCGAACCCTAAACCCCGAACCCCTGAACCCTTAATCCCTAAACCCCCGAACCCTTAATCCCTAAACCCCTGATCCCTAAACCTCCGAACCCTAAACCCTTAACCCCTGAACCCTAAACCCTCAACCCCTGAACCCCTGATCCCTAAACCTCCGAACCCTAAACCCTAAACTCTAAACACTTTATCCCTAGACCCTAAACCACTGA